AATGAGTCTATTGAGGAAAATGCCACAGTAATTGCTGCCATCTGATATACCTGTTTATAGAATATGATTATGAGTTTGTCATCTCTCAAGTCCGTTTCTACTCCTACTTATGAAATAGGGAATTTGTGATGATGAGATCATGCTCTGAACACTTATTAAGAAGAATTCCTTTTGAACTGACCTTTCCCACCCCTTCCTTTGTACATGTTCCTTCCTATAGCTCCGAGTCCCTGCTCACTCTAGCGCTGAAATCATCTGGAAAATTATTTTCTCTTCTTTGGGGACAAATGAAAAAATTTGCTTAAGTTTAGAATAATATTCTTCCTTTCTTTCATCATCTACATGAAAGGCTGGGGCATATGCACTGATAACTGTTGTAACTTGTGAGTCAGTGGAAAATAAGGATTATGAAATGCTTATTGATGCCAACCAGAAATTCCAGCATCTGAGTAACAATCTTGGTCTTGGTAGAAAAATCAGCACCATGGATAAATCTGTCTTTTCAGCTTTTCCTTTTCAAAAGAAGCTGTACCCACCACTCATGTTCTGTGAGTTGCCCCTGCCCTGCATGCCTGATATCATCAACTGTACCAATATCAAAATCAAATCATGTAAGTTCTCTAACCACTAATGTTGTCCTTCACTTCAGTTGGACACAATTAGGGTTATCTATCAGGATATGGATGCTCCAGGTTGCAAACATAATTTCTTGATTCAGGACATCTCTTACCTGGGAGACATGAGTCTCCCAGGTAAGAGACAGGGGCCTGGATAGTCCAGGGATTGGGGGGGAGGCATATACACGCTCAGGTGCCCTTAAATGCCTCTACACTAATGCTCATAGTATGGGGAACAAGCAGGAGGAACTTGCCCTCCTGCTAGCTAACACAAACCCGGACATAGTGGGGCTCACTGAAACTTGGTGGGATCCAACGCATGACTGGGTGGTAAACGTCAAGGGCTATAGGCTGTATAGGTGGGATAGAATGGGGAGGAAAAGTGGCGGTGGGGCGCTCTACGTCAAAGAGCAATACACATCCTCCGCAAAGAGCACTGGGTCAGAGGAGGGGCAGACTGAAGTGCTCTGGGTCAGAATACAAGGGGGTCAGGGGGAAAGGGACCTAACAGTGGGTGTCTACTACAGGCCACCTAACCAGGGGGAAGAGCTGGACCAGGAATTCTCAGGTCAGCTCGTGGAGGCAGTCAAGTCAAGGGACATGGTCATCATGGGTGACCTAAACTATCCGGACATCTGCTGGGAAGAGCAGTCAGCCAGGGCTGACCACTCATGCGGGTTCCTAGCCAAGTTACAGGACCTCCATCTAACCCAGGAGGTGCACAGTCCCACCAGGGGATATGCCATGTTGGACCTGGTCCTCGCCACAGGCGACAACCTGGTGAGGAGACTGCAGGTGCTCGACCACCTGGGCAATAGCGATCATCGCCTACTGGAATTCACCATCCAGCTCAGGGTGTCAAAGGCGTGCAGCAAGGCAGCAGCCCTGGACTTCAGGAGGGCCGATTTCAATGAGGTAAGAAGACTAGTCAGGGAGGCATTGAGGTCCCAGAGGGGAGGGGAGTTGGGAATCTAAGAGGAGTGGTCGTTCCTTAAGAAGACGATCCTCTAAGCCCAAAGGGTGACAATCCCCACGTGGATCAAAGGGGGCAAGAGCACTCAAAAGCCTCCATGGCTCACCAAAAGCATCCAGGAATGTCTCAAAGCCAAAAAGGGTGTTTACACCCAATGGAAGGGAGGGGCCATCACCAAGGAGGATTATACCTCCTTGGCTCAAGACTGTAGGGTGGCTGCTAGGAAGGCTAAGGCAGAGATGGAACTGGGACTAGCAACCCGGATCAAGGATAGCAAGAAGTCCTTTTTTAAATACCTAGGGAGTAAAAAGAAGGTACCTAGTAACGTGGGGCCTCTGCCGGACATGCTTGGTAATCTGGTGGTAGCACCAGGAGACAAAGATAATCTCTTTAACAGTTTCTTTTCTTCCATTTTTTGGAGCAGGGACAGGGACATCCCCCACACTGGGAATCCAGATGGACCCAGGGGAGGCACAGCCAGGCCCAGGGTCTGTGAGGACCTAGTCAGGGAACCTCTGGAGGAACTAGACATATTCAAATCAGCAGGTCCCGACGATCTCCACCCCAGAGTGCTTAGGTAATTGGCAGAGGTCATTGTGGGACCCCTGGCACAGCTTTACAAGCACTCATGGTGCTCTGGCGAGGTGCCGGAGGACTGGAAAAGGGCCAATGTGGTCCCCATTTTCAAAAAAGGGAGGAACAAGGACCCAGGAAACTATAGGTCCATTAATCTTACCTTGTTCCTGGGGAAGCTCTTTGAGAAAATTATCCAGGAGCACATCTGCAAGGGACCAGCAGGGGAGATTATGCTTAGGGGCAACCAACATGGGTTCATTAGAGGCAGGTCCTGTCAGACGAACCTGGTTGCCTTCTCCGACCAGGTCACAAAAGCTTTGGACGCAGGTGTAGCGGTGGACGTAGTCTTTCTGGACTTTAGGAAGGCCTTCGACACTGTCTCTCACCCCATCCTCATTTAAAAAATTAGGCGATTGTGGTATCAACACCTACACAGTCAGATGGGTCACAAATTGGCTGGAGGGCTGCACCCAGAGAGTGGTGGTGGATGGGTCATTTTCGACTTGGAGGGATGTGGGCAGTGGGGTCCCCCAGGGCTCAGTCCTCAGGCCCGGACTGTTCAATATCTTCACTGGTGATTTGGACGAGGGGGTGAAAAGCACCTTGTTCAAGTTCACAGATGACACTGAGATGTGGGGAGAAGTGAACACACTAAAAGAGAGGGACAGGCTACAACTAGGTCTGGACAGGTTACAGAAGTGAGCGGATGAATATAGGATGGGTTTCAATACGGACAAGTGCAAGGTATTGCACCTGGGGTGGAAGAACCAGCAGCACATCTACAGGCTGGGGAACTCCCTTCTCATCAGTGCAGAGGCAGAAAAGGATCTTGGAGTCATTATTGGTTCCAAGATGAACATGGGCTGCCAATGTGGGGACGCGGTCAGGAAGGCTAACCACACCTTGTCATTCATCCATAGATGCATCATGAGCAGGTCCAAGGAGGTGATCCTCCCCCTCTATGCAATATTTGGTCAGGCTGCAGTTGGAGTACCGGGTCCATTTCTGGGCACTGCACTTCAGGAGGGATGTGGACAGCATCGAGAGGCTCCAGAGGAGGTTCCACTCGCATGATCAGGGGCTGCAGGGTAGGCCCTATGAGGAGAGGCTACAGGACCTGAACCTGTTCAGCCTCCACAAGAGAAGGCCAAGAGGGGATCTACTGGCCAAGGGGGACCAGCAGGCTATGGGAGAGTCCCTGTTCCCCCAACCACTACCAGGAGTAACGAGGAATAATGGCCATAAGCTGACTGAGAGTAGATTCAGGCTAGACATCAGGAGGCACTACTTCACTGTCAGGGCGGCTAGGAGACGGAACCAACTTCCTAGGGAAGTGGTGCTCACTCCTACCCTGGTTTTCTTCAAAAGGAAGCTAGACAATCACCTAGCCAGGGTTATTTGACCCCAGCATCCTTTCCTACCCATGGCAGGGGGTTCGGACTTCATGACCTGCTTAGGTCCCTTCTGACCCTACCAACTGTGAAACTATGACATAGATGGAGTGATCTCACTGATGCAGTTTTCCAGTCAGATGAAGTGAGAAAGGCTATGTTTAGGGCACCTTTTCTAGCCCCCTCCTCATAGTTCATACTTTATCTCATAGTTCTTCCCACAAGCAGCAGTCCGTTTCCAACCCAGGTCAATAGCAGCTGACTGTGATTTCACTCTGCTTACTTTTCGGTGTTCCATCAAAAATTAGCTCACCAGCTCAACTCATTTCCTAATGGGGTAAATTACCACTAAAACACCCATCAGGCTGGCTGTCTTCATGTTACCGTCCTCATTTGGGAGGTAAAGGATAGAAAAGACAATAGACATTGAACTCTCCTGCTGGTCCAGAGGCCTTTGTTCCACAGACAGGTGAAAAATACTAGTGGTGAATCTAATGTGCATGTGAGTGCCTCTGTGTGCTGGAACCTTGATCTGGTGTTGCCCTGGCTCAAACTATTCAGGGGGGGAAAAAAAATGTAAATCCATCTCTGCCCAAGGCAGCCAAAGCAGAAGCATTCATTAGTGCTATATTTTAAAACATGAAGCTGGGACAGGATTGACCTGAAGAAGGTGGAATGCTACTATACCGAGGTGATGTGGGGAGGCAGCCTTTACCAGAAATGCATGAGGCACCAGCCTCTAATCTAGTATAGTTGTTTTATTTTTCATCAAGTAAGAATGGAAACCAAAGCCTGGAGCTCAACATCCACTTTGTTCTGAGGTAGCTGGGACTGAAATCTGAGCTCTACAAAGCTGAAAGCCTTCCCTTGATTCTTAAAGAAATCCCAGTCAAAGAACAAAACCAAGGCAAGGAAGAGACCATAGAACTCCCAAGGCACCTCAGGGGGACCATGTTTCTCCATCTCTTTTTCCTTCTATTTTTCTCCTGCTGCTTCAGGCACTGAATTCCACCTGGGTCTGAAATCCAGTGGCCTTTCCATCCCTTTCCTAGGCCCCTGACCTGTCAAGTATCTTCAGGTTTACCTGGGTTTCCCACGGAAGAGACAGACATGGGTTGAAGGAAGGAGAGAAAGCTAAAGGAACCAGAAATGAGTGGTGCTTGACAGAAAAGCCACAGTAGTTGTGATGTTCTTCCACATTTGCAGTGTGAATTCAGGGTCTACAGCTAAGAAGTTCTAGTGGGAATCCTCTTTCTTGATCTCTTTAGAAAGAACAAGACACAAGAAGCTGAATGAACTTCCACTAAGAAATCTAAAGGGTGAACATGGCTCAGAGAAAGAGATCCAAGTCACTTTGTTCACATCTGTGTCACTGGGTCCACCCCCATGCACCTTTGGCTGAGTGTGAAGACTACACAGTTAGGTGTGATGGAAGCCTGCTCTTGAGTTTTTTTTATCTTTAACACATTCAAATACGTTACTTAGACATCAGTTCAAATGTGTTACCACGATCTGGTCCAGGTCTCAGGGAGCTTGGGAACAGAACAGTTATCCTCGCTGACACTGTTTCATACCCAGCCTGAGGATCAGAGAGTATTATGTAGTTACAGGATGTGGTGTGGTTACATACAAAGCTTCTCCCCTCCAGGGCCCAGCTTGTTTAGGTAAACCCAGGTGCCAAGAGGTGAATTGACTTGTCCTTGGCAGAGGAAGGAATAGTACAAAGCCCGACTCCTACCCCCCTGCACTAACTACTTGAGTGCTGCCTCCTCAAGGGCACAGCCTTACATACCTGAGCTGCAGGGGGCATTGTATTCTGCAGTGGCATGATCATCTGCAAGAGAGAGGAAAGTTTGCTGTGAGAGGTAGATTAGGAAAGTAATTACAGAGCCCTAATATCCCTTCCCTTCAGCACAAGAATCCATGGGGACCTTGCCTCCTTGCCATATTCTCTTTAGACTTTAAGGTGGAAAACAGGCATGTTCCCAGCCTCCACAGGGAAAAAAGAGCACCAATGGATGCTAGAGTGACTCCATATCATGAAGTTCTTCCCCCTGATTGGTCAGGATTGGCAGTAGGGAAGGGTCCCCTTAAGTGTAGGACTCAGAGTAAAACACAATTTTCAACCTCATGAAACAAAAGCATAAACATTTCCAGAAGACCACAAGGGCTGGAGATACCAGGATTTTGCCAGGGGACCAGGGATCAGAGCTAGGAGGGTCAAAATGCAATGATGTAACACCCACACCACAAAGCCACAGTAGAGACAGGCAGCCTCCACTCTTGAGAGGCCCAGGTCTAGAAAAATACTGTGCAAGATAAACCCCTGTGGCTGTATGTAGGGAACCCAAGGCTGGGATAGCAAAGGGCCACAGGACAGGAGTGAAAGGCACTGGCAAAGTTGTGTGTGGAGCCCAGGACTAGGATAACCATAGGGCCTGCCAGACCAGAGAGGGGCACCAGCAGAGCTGTCTGTGGGAGAGGAGAGGGAATGATGGTGACTTTTCCCCTCTGTCAACAAAGTCTCACCTGGCTGGTAGTAGTCATAGACACGCACTGTTGCCGGTTTCAGATGTTGCACTTCAATCTCTTGTTCCACTGAGAAAGTGAAGTTTTGCAGAGTCTTATCCAGCTGTGGAGAAAGATGGAAGGGAACAGGAAGGAAGGATGCTCCTTCTCCACTTCACCCTACTTCCAGCTTTATCTCCCAATTAGGGAGTTCTTTTTTTACTGTGGTCTCAGGTCCCCCTAGCACCCTTCTTTCTCTTCTTCAACCCTAGCTTCCTTCCCCAACCCTTGGACTTCTTCTTTTTGTAAGTAGACCAGGGGTGAATTGAGGTGGGTGAGGAGGGAGATGCACTGGTGCAGTTTGATTCCTGGTCCACCTTAAGTTTAAAACCAACTGCCTGGCAGTGGCAGCAATTTTACTATTCAGGCAACAGTGAGGGAGTCAATTGACTTCATGGCTCATTATAATCTACCTGAACCCTTCTAAACTGTTCATTCCATGGGTGTTAGTGACCCTCTCCTCTTTTTCATAATCTTGATGTTCCACCAATCAAACTACCCTTTGTTCTGAAATTCTGCTGTCTGTGAGCTGCTCCTATTTCACAGCCTGCATATTGTCTTCAACTCATTCCAATGAAGTTATATTTGTTTTGCTTCAATTTAAAACTGAAAAATACAGCCCTAGACCCCTAGCATAAAGCTTCTAGTTTATTTTTAACTAGAGAAAAAGATGTGTTGTTTTATATGTGATGATGCACCTCATCATCTGCACCTGCCTTTTCAAAATTCTAGATCTATCCATGCACATACCCTTGCCCTTTAATGGTCAGATGGAGCCTTGCATTGCACTTACCTCCTCCAAGTAGATGGTGACCTTCTCTGGGTCAACCTCGGTCCTCTTCACTATGGGTATCTTTTGCAACTGCCAGAGAACAGGAGACATGCACACTGTTTAGAATCAACTCATTGGCAGGATTGTGATCTCCCCCATGTGAGAGTGGTTTGGATGTGGAAAGTGTTAAGTCAGGGTAAAACTGCCATAAGTGAAATCACAGTCAGGCTTGATTGGGGGCACAGAGTAGCCTCAGAGCCTCACCTAGCCTCCTGTGTCTTTCCATCCAGACCCCCTTGCTTTATTAGGAGGACTGACTCCATCTCATGTAGGGCAAATATTGTATAACATGACAGTTAAGTGGGACCTCCTTGAGAACAACAGGACTGGGAGCACTTGGGGTGTGAAGCGGGAACCTCTCTAAGGTTTGCACAGGAGCAGCAGAGACTGACCTAGAGTCATAGAAAGTAGGGCTGGAAGGGACCTCAGGCAGTCATCGGGTCCACCCCCTTGCTCAAGGCATGACAATCCCTATCTAAACCAGCCTGGACAAGTGTTTTTCTAACTTATCCTTAAAAGTAGCAGTGAACCCAGGACAGGCTCACATGGGACGCCACTTGTAGTAACATGTCTTTCAGGGACTCAGGAAGGATGCAATAGAATTACTTTTAGAGGCCTATCCACTTGCGTGCCTAATAGGTGGAGTAGAATCTGGCCCCTTGAGCAGCCCTGAGACAGACGGACTGATAGCAGCACCGGGCATACTCTCCTCCTTGCTACCAGGCAGGTAAGTTGTTGCATGTCTGAGAGGGGGCATGTCCACAGTGGGAGTGAGCAAACAGGAAGTATTTCACATTGGTGCTCCTGAGCATGGCACAGAGAGGGTGCAGACATGTCCCTGATAACTGCTTAAGGTTCAGTGATGCCATATGCTATGTCACTGTCTGTTGTAAAAGCTCTCAGGCAACTCCTCCCATCTCAGCGCTATTTTGCAATACAGCACTAGGCCCTACTGTGTGGTTTCATAGCTCCTTGGAATTCTGGGATGCCAAGTGACATAGCCTTGCCTGGTATCAGACAGCGTGTTGCAGGGGCAGCCTGGAGACCAAGTGCTGCCTTTCTGGGATAACTCAGAACATTTCCACTGGCTGAGTTCTGAGGAGTCTCAGGGTGCCTGTGCATGAGCAGCGAGTAATTACCATGCTCCAGCAGACTCCAGTGTCTCGTGTATCAACATCCCCATGCTGACAAATGGCAGCAGGAGCAATTTAACTAAAGCTTGTTCAATGAGCTTTAGTTAAAGTGCCCCCAACCACCATTTTTCAGTGCGGGGACATTGATACACAAGATACTCTGGGTGCTTTAATTAGAGCAGCTCTCAGAGTCACTCTAATTAGAGCCCCTCCTCCCGTCCCACTCCCACAGCATGTGTATAAACACCCTTAGGCCATATCTTCACAGCACTTGGAGTTTCATGGGTGGGATTCTCTTTGCAAGGAAGTGCTGGTGGGTTTGTGGGGGTCTCTAACTGAACCACACCTAGAATATAGAGTCCCTTACAGCCAGGGAAGGGCAGGTGGGAGGGGAGCTGCTTACTGCTTTCACAGAGCTCTTCACGGGGATGAAGCCTGACAGCATCTTCACTTCTATCAGGGCCATGTTGCTGCTCCTGCGGTCCCCAGTGTAGCTAGAGGAAGAGAAGAAGCAGCGGGCATGGCACCCACCTCAGCACTCTAAGCAAGCGGAAGATACTTCTTGTGACCCATGAGTGAATGTGGTAAATTTGCTATGGGGGGAGCTGTAGCAAATGTTTGCTGGCTCCCACACTGATGTGCAAAACTTAACATCCCCTCTGCCCAATGGAAGAAAGGGCAGTAAGACCCCAGAGGGCAGGAATCCTGGTTTTAGTGTGGGAGTGCAGTTTCCCCCAGTTCTGTGCGTGGTCTCTGGTCTCCCAGTTTTAAGGAATCCCAGCTCCAGTTTCAGAGACACTTCAGGACAATGGAGGCAGAGTGCACAGGACAGTGCTCCCTGACTCTCTCTCTCCCAATTTCCAGCCACTGGGGGAAGGGGGAAGAGCAGAGGATGGTGAGAAGCCAGAACACCCACCCCCTGTCACCCTCCATAGCATGTCCGTGCATAACAGGGTGCTCTTCATTTTGAAGTACTTCTAAATAGTACCTCATTTCAACAGGTTTACTTCTGCAGCACTTCACCTGTTTTTGGAGCATTTCAAAGGGCATGTTCAACTATCTGGAAACTGCTTCAGAGGCATGTGAAACGCTTCAAATATGATGTCGGTCCACACCCCAAGAGAGATCACTGAGGCACTCATTTGAGATCCTGGAGCTTGTTACAAGCTCATCTTCTAACTGGAAACCTTCCCCCGGTCCCTTTAGCTGTCCCCTCACTCCCTGTTCTAGACCTGTTCCACAGGCTTCCTTGGCCTGGGAGCATGGGCAGACGGGGAAGAGGAAAGGGCCTGTTGCTCCCTCCTGGTCCCTGCAGTCAGGGAACTCCACTGTGCAGCTGTTCATTGAGACCATGTCAGTGGTCACTGGCTCTGGTACAGAGAGAAGAGTTGGTCCCATACCTGACTGCCACATGGAGGTTGAAGTGCTCCCTAGCTGCATCACTGCACTCCACTGGGGCTGTCTCCACGTGCAGGACAAAGACCGCCTCACTCTTATGGGGTGGGACATTGTAGCTCAGAGTTGTCTGTTGGGGGAGAAGCAGAGGGAATATGTCTATATAATCTTGTGGGGGTTCCCTGCATAAACAAAGGCCCCCAACTATACCACATCCTTCTAACCTAGCAGCTGGTAACCTTTTCAAGTCACAGGCTGGAACAAACTGGCTCCAGTCTGACTCAGGCTGCGTGGTTTCTGCAGTGCATCAGCAGTGGGAGATTTTCTCTGCTCCCACACAACTGGGAGCTGCACCTGCACCATTTCCCCCAGCCTCTCACTCCCTGGCTGGGGCATGAGTGCAGCTTCCAGCTGATGGGGAGCTGTGCCAGGGCTGGGCAGGTGGAAGCTGTGTCCACACTGCTGCTACTTCTGCACTACAGCTGAGAAGCTAGGGAGAAGGTGCATAAGGAAGAGAGAGAAGTGGCAGCAACATGGACGCAGTGTCTAGCTTCCTGGCCCTGGCACAACTCATCACTGGCTGGAAGCTGTGCCCATGATGCAGCCAAGGGGAAGTTATGGTGTGGAGGGAAAAAGCAGTGGCAGCAAGGCTGCAGCTGGAAGTTGCTTGGTTCTGGCACACCTCCTCACTTCTTAGTTCTGGTGCAGGTGCCAACGTGGACTTGGGCATGGGCAAAGCTCTTGGGCTCTGTGGGTTATATCTAGTGGCTCTGCAAGCCAAATCCAGTCCATGGGTCATATGTTGCCACCCTCAGCTTTACCCAGTTTGTAACTGTCTAAACAGCTGATTCAGTTTGTGGCTGTGTCCTTGTCTTTCTGTCATATGGTTTTCATGTAGGCTCAAACCCTTCCCTATTGCAAGTCCTTTGGCTTCGATGAAACTTCACCAGGGATGACCTAGACCTTATGGTTCCTCCTTTGTGCCTGGTGCTTTGGGCTGAATTAGTTAATGAGCCAGGGAGTGGCACAGTCTTCAGATAGCCTCTAGATGCTTCTAAGATCAGGGGTGGGCAAAATGCAGCCTGCGGGCTGAATGCAGCCCATTAGCCCATTCTATCTGGCCCGTGGGTCCCCTAAAAAATATAGAACATTAATATTTATCTTCCCTTGGCTGCTTTTCATGTGGCCCTTGACATCTTGCCAAAACTTAGTAAGCGGCCCTCTGCCCGAAATAACTGTCCATCCCTGTTCTAAGATGGTTCTTCAGCTGCACAGATAGTGCCAGTGTGTGAGGGCTAGACTGCCCTCCTTTTCCACTTCCAACAACATTTCTATGGAGCTGACATCCCAAGGGGCACTGCATCATGGAATAGACATGCACAGTTCTCTGTACCAGCAGGTGTGTCAGGAATTACTGGGACTGGTTGCAGGCGGTGTTGGGTGAGCTTCTATGGTCTGTGTTATGTAGGAGGTCCACCCTAATGGTCTTTTGGGCCTTAAAATCACAGACCCTATTAATAAAATTGCTGCTCAAGTACTCCCAGAAGGCATTACTGCAGCATGGCCATTGTGGTTAAGCCAGCAGAGTTGAAACATGCTCCTGCAGGGAAAATCCTCTTCTGTGGATGCACTCAGCCCATGCTAACCATGTCATGTGGGTAGGCCAGAGCCTCCCATGGCTTATGGAGTGAATGAGTTATAGTTCACACTAGGCTTGGTAGAAAATCCTGCTCCCATGGAAGTCAGTGGCAAAATGCCTTTGGACTCCACGGGACCATATCCCTGGTGGCCCTCACTTACCTGCACATACACACAGCCACTCCCAGCCACCTGCACTGTGTACACTCCTGGGATGCCAAGGAGAGGTGCTTGCTGTAGCACCAGCTGGTTCTTCCCATCCACATGAAACTCCAGCAGGAGGGCCTCTTCAGATCTCACCATCACCTTTGTGTGCCCTGCCTTCCGGTAAGTCAGGCCTGCATATTTAATCAGGGCTTGGAGGCCAACAACAGTGTCCTGGAGAGAGAGGCAAAGTCAGCTCATTGTGTATGTGCACCACCCCTTTGCTTTGGAGCAACAGGGTCTCTGGGAGTGGGCTCCCAGCTTCAGCATTTCCCCATAAGTTGGGGAGCCTGGAGGGGTCCATGCCCCTTGTGGCACCAGTAACAAGGTTCACAAGCAGGCAGGGTCTGCACTGCCTAGAACATAAGTATCAGGACTGCAGCCTTGACCCATACCACATCTTGATAGTGCTAAAACTTGCACTCCCGGTTGTGGGTACAGGTTTATATCATAAATCACCATGGCTTCCCTAAGGCTACAAACAGACATTGTTTTTGTTGCAGCATCAGCTGTTCTTGGGTGTGTCCTGTTGTCCCACAGGGTGTGAGCCTTGCCACTCCTGGGGCTTCAGGTGCCCAATCATACAGGGTAACAGCCCTGGGTGCTGTGCCTCAACCTGAGGCACATGTTTCATTGTTTCATATCCAGGGCATGCTTATGCAAAACCTCCTCATGCAGGTCCCCCTGCTTGCAGACACATGCACCAGGCATCCTTCTGCAGGGTCTGGCATGGCAGCATAAATGCATGCCCCAGAAGCCCCCCTGCAAAAATCCCCTGCAAGCAGGGGAAACCCCATGGTTTCAAGACACAGCAGTATAAAAGGCACCCTCTGGGAATCCCCTGCAGGGGAATTTCTGGGTTGCACAATAAGAGAACAAAGATCCTTGCCTATAAGGCATCACAAGCTGTGACTAGGTTTGGTTGCATAAACATTTTTGGGCAACTGGAGCATGCCAAAGGTCAGGGACGGCACAAGGGCAATGGCTGTTTGCACTCTAAGAGACTCACTCCCATCCTCCATCACCAGCAGGAGTCATATATCCCTCCCTAGAGAAATCTGTCCCTAAGGGATAACTCCCCAGTCCCTAAGGGATAACTCCACAGCAACTCCCCAGTCCCTAAGGGATAACTCCCCAGCAATTCTCCAGTTACTCAGTGTCTCTCTTCCTTTCTGCCTTTCCCCCCATACATTCTGAGGGAGTGGTGTTGTTACCTGAGTGGAATAAAAACCCCCAAAGGAGTTGCGCCTTTCGTTGAGCTGACGCAGAATTGGGGACAATTTCGTGATGTTACTGGCTGTCACCTCTGGTTGGGATAGGTGAGTCAGGAGGATGTAGGCCATGGACTCAACCAGCGATGAGGATCCTGTCATTGGCTCATCTGCAAACAAGTGGAGGAAGACAAAAATTGACCTAGAATGCCAGCTTACCATGCCCTGGAAGCCCCCAGGGACTAGGGTTCACTCACTTCATCAGGGACCCCTACCCTTATCTGGGAAAACCTCTTTGTTCAGGGTCCAGAGCTTCTCCTGAACCCCATTTCATTACCTTGTACTCTGGGATGCCAGTCACCTAATCATTTCCCTTGGCAGAATGGATGCCCTCAATGCCTTGGACACCCAGGCTGCACATAGACCCCAAGTCCTCAGCAGGACCCTGTTGATAATCCTCTTTGCAGAGACTGCTTTTGCTTGAATTGAAGCTCTCCTCCTCCCTGTTTCTGCATGGTCTAGGATTCTTTCCCAGCTATTGACATTACTTATGTAAAATCTTCTCTATCTTTCAGGGCAATTGTGGGAAAGGCAGTGGATTACTGAGAACATGCATCTGATTTTTGCCAGCATCCTTTTTACCTGCTAGCCCCACTTAAACCAGAACTGGGTTTCTAACCCACACCCCCAGCTACGCAAGCAACTCCAAACCCATGTCAGAGACTTTCTATGTGGATGTGGATGATAGTGTGGCTAAGGCTAAAACCCAGATAAGAGCTTCAGCTAACTGTGCAGTGCAGACATACCCTGAATGACAAAACAAATGGAAACCTGCAGTGCCGACCTTAATACCACTTTGCAGAAGAGACCCAAGCTTAAAGAAGGAGAGAGAAGAAAATTGATTTTCACAGGTGAAGGCTATGTCAACCCTCCTAGGGAAGGCTACTCAAGGACAGAAGCTAGTTGTCCTCTCTGGGCCAGATGCTGATCTCAGTTCCAGCAATATCAACACAAAGTCACTCCATAGTGAATTTACAGAGGAATCAGAGTCACGCTGGGTTTGCATCAGAATAGCACAGAGCTGAATCTCCTCCTTCATTTACTCAGTCAGGCACTCTCCCCAGGGTTCAGGCCTGCTGTCCTTAGCAGTCCATCCTCCCTCAGCAAGTAGCTGGCAGCCTGCAGTGAAGCCATGCAGTCTGATTCCCCTCCTGTGGTCTCTCCCCATTGCCAAAGAGATCTTCAAGAACCTGCAGGTTCTCCCTTAAGGGAGATAATAGGGAATCTCATGCAGATAGAAATACACAGCATCCAAGTATAACTGGAACTGGAAGATCAAAAAGGTTGTTAACTATTGCCAGCCCACAGGCCAAGCATGGAACCAGCAGCATTGTTCCAAAGAGCTGTATGTCCTTATAGTGAGACACCCCCAAAGTGATACCTGCCCCCACAGCTTATAACAAAGAGGCTTCTAGTGGTGCAAATGCAAAGGGACTGATCCTCCCAAGTGTTGAGTGCCATGAAGTGTGAATGACACTGATGTATGTTGAGGGATGCTGGTTCCTCAGAGAAATTTTGGATCTTTAATGTCTTTCTCTGGCAAAGCTCCCACAGACTTCACAAAGTGTTTGCTTGAGCAAGGATGACTGAAGGCCAAATAAAGGCTCTAGTATTGTTCCTGTTGAAACATGGTTGCTCACACTTATATGGCTAAGAAAATAAGATTGGCTATTTATTGGGTCAGCTCATAGGTCAGTCCATCTTGCCCAGCAACCTTTCTTGTGCAGAATGGATGCTAAGAGGGAGGGTGAACAGAGCACGTCCAGAATTTTCCACTTTGTGCTTCTCTTCCAGTGGTGCAGCTTTGAGTATTCAGAGGTTTAGGAAACTCTGACTAAGTGGCTGTGAACTACCTACCATGTTTAGGACCTACTGACAGACCTTTCCTCCTGGAATTTGTCCAATCCCCTTTTAAACTGGGTTAAATTATCAGCCTCCACAATGTCTTGTGGCAAGGAGTTGCACAACTTAATTACACGCTATATGAAAAAGAACTCCTTGTGTTGGTTTTAGACCTTCAACCAAATAGTTTCATTTGGTGTCTCTTAGTTCTAGTATTGGGAGAGACCATAAGTAATAAATCCCTACTTTTTTCTGCATCATTCATTATTTTGTAAAACTCTATCATGTGCTCCCTCAAATACCTCTTTACAAACTTGTCTATTTGAACAGCCCTAGCCTATTTCGTTTCTCCTCATAAGGTGTCCCTAATCATCCTTGTTGCCTTTCTCTATACCTTTTCTAGGGCCTCAATCTCCTTTTTAAATTATGTGGACCAAAACCACACACAGCATTCAAGGTGTGGACACACCACAAATATATAAAAGATCATATTGTTTTGATTACAGTTCCTTTCCTTATAATTCCTAACTCTTTTTCTTGCCTTTTGGATTGCTGCTGAACACTGAACTGATGTTTTTAGAGAACAGTTCACAGTGAGTCACAATGTTCCTGTGTGGTAAGTTAATGAAGAGATCATAATGGTGCAGCCATATTTGGGGTTATTTTTTTTTCTCTGTGTGCATCACTGAAGTAGAGACTTGAACCAGATCTTGGATGCATGAAGAAGTTCTACTGTGTATCTGAGAAACCTCTCCCAATCGAAGCCATGTCGAGGCAGCTACATCCCACAAAATGTTTCAATTTGGATAAGCCCAAATTTTCCAACAAAAAACATTTTGTCCGAAAATTCCCATCTGCCTCTACTCCCAACCCACCAGAATCATGCTTTAACCACAGGCCAGGACAGTGCCTGTGGAATCAAGTATCTACCAAAAGATGTACCTGTACCAGGCTTGAGAAATTTTTCATCTAACTTCTCCAGGAGCTGCTGCCTCATCTCTGTGTCCTTGGTCAGGGCAAAGACATAAGCCATCAAGGCCTGGGTGTAGGCACTGTCCACATCATGTAATGCTTTCTTAAGGCAGCCCAATGCCTTTTCCACCATAGCAGCCTGAGAAAGGAAAATGAAGGCAATTAGGATAGTCCCTGGACATCTATACCTGATCCCTAGTAATCACAGATACAACCAGAGAACACATCCCAGAAGGATCTTTTTCCAGTTTCCTGGCCTAGGTTTTGAAATGAGTGAAGGCCAGAATACACAAATCTGGCCTGAACCAGGTTTCTGGTAACACAGGACAAAACAGCCACCATATTTAAGCCGGATATATTCCAGGAAGTCTGGGTCAGATATAACATCTTGCCCTGGGTAGCTGGGTAGGACACAGTGGGCTCATCTACACGTGCATATAAGCATGACTAAATTTAATGCGCATTAAGCAATTTTTGACAGGTGTCTACATGTGCAGGGACTTGGCACTAAAGTTAGTGCATTTGGCACTAAAGTTAATGCTCTTGGCACTAAATTTAGTGTCACATCCCCTCAGTCCTGCTATGTGCCCCTAGTGGCTGGGCAGACTCAGCACTAAAGTTAGTACTTTAACTAATCACACCTAAACTTGATACCTGCAGGTATCAAATTTAGGAGCAATTAGCCTAATTTTGCCATTTTAATGCAATTAAGGGCGTGCATATGTAGACACATGTCCATATAGCACATTAAATTAAGCTAATGCCCATTAACATGTCTTGTGTAGACTTGCCTTATAACTCACTGAATTCTGGTGTCCAAGAGGTGGGGAGGAAAAATAGATCTTGATCAAAACAAAATTAATGTTTTCTTCAGCTCTGCTTGCTGAAATGGGAGGGAGGGGGAAGGGAAAAAAAAAACATTAATTTCTAAGTCAAACGAATGGTTTAATTTGAGGCCAAACAAAATATTTCATTTCCATTTTGGGGCATCTGTAGCTAAAGCAAAGCAATGGGAATGAAGGACTGGGCTGAGGTGTGGTGCCCAAAATGGAATCAGTTATGTGTCCTACCAGCTTCCTGGTGACAGCCAGCAGCTTTGGGAGGATAGTCACGCCCTTGAGCTTCACACTGACTTAAGATGCCCAAAAGATTGCTCCTTAACTCAGAATCAGCAGGTCTTTGCCTGCTCCATGCTGGTAAATGCACAAAGCAGAAATGTGGTGGCTGGACTTGAACAAACTCGGACTGACCCCTCCCTGTACCTACAGAGCGGTGGCAAAATGGTGGGTTCCCTCACATACTGTGGCAGTTCAGAAGCTACCTACTTTCTCATCAGATGGAGCTCCAGGAGTGAAGCAGTGATGTAGGCTGTCAGTGAGAGCTCATCATCCACTCCACCCTGCAAGACACACAGAGAGATGAGGAAAAGGGATGAACAAGTGCAGTGGAGAGAAGGAATGCATCACCTGCTTGGAGTGTGGAAAATAGACCCCTTAGGAGAAAAAGGCAGCAACAGCTCCCTCAGATTAGCAGGATCCTAGGGGGGATAGTGAGAAGTAACCTGAATTGTGGCCACATGCATGCACTGCAAATTGGGTTGGCTATGTCTTCAGTAACCAAAGATAATAAAGCAGGGAATAAAGCTTCTGTCTCAGGTCCTGACCTTCCCAATTTGTGAGCCCTTTGGATTTTCTGAGGAGGGATCTTGCTCCAAAAGTGCAGATCAAATGCTGCACCCGTTGCAACTTGGAGTCTGAGAAATAATCTAGCTGAGGCATAAACCCTCCTCCCCATATACCTCAGCCTTTCAGTATCCCCTTTGGGAAGCAGAGCTGAAAGAACTTCTTACTCCGTATATGCCTGGGTCTGACTGTGTCCCCAAGGATAGGTAAAGATGGAAAAGTTTGCTTGAGAGGTCTCAAAGTTGGCCTAGCCTTACTAGGGACTGCACAAATCCAAGATGAAAAGCTAGTTCTTGGAAGGCCAAGTTGTTCTACATGACACTGATGGGGTATCTCCCCAGTCAAAGACCCATCCAGAGATGTTAGATCTGGCTTGCTGTCATTTGGTGAAAACCAGAATTAAACAGGAAAGAATCATGGAAGCAGTCTAAGGGTGGGTCCTGCTATTTTCACAATGGCTGAGACTTAGCCTACTCTGAGAATACAGCCATGGCCAAAGTTCCCTGATCTGGAATGCTATTCATGTGATGGAGAGGAGGAAGCAGTAGCCATTAGGTGAGGCAAAAGCAGATGCTGCCGCCTCAGCAGTTTCCTCCTTCTCCTATGCCATGAGGGCAGAGCTGCCATTTCAGGCAAATCAAGTTCAGGTGACTTACCCTGACAGAAGGCCCTGTTTTAATTTGGAGGGCATTTGGGGAAAAGGACCTTGGAGACTGAGCTCTCTCTGGGTACATTGACACTGTGGAGTCAGGGCATTTAGTCACTTGCCTGAGGAGAGAAACCCCACCCATGTGTTGCTGCTTCTTGCACCAAAGCCAGAAAGGAGTTGGTGAAGATTGGCTTAGAGGGTGGGTTTATGGCATGATGCCATACAACTCAGCCTTACTGCCAAGAAAATCAGTCCAACTGGCTTGGTCCTTTTCTGTGCATTAACCCCAGGAAGAAAGAAGTGAGGACACCTTTGGGGGGCACCTGGTAACACACTCAACCAGGGGCAACACGTAGGGGGTGCATGTGGGGGCATTTGCACCCCCTGTGTGTGGCAGTGCACCCTCTGCAAAAAGGCACCACCAACACTGTTGGCAGCGCCTGTGGGCAATCCATGATTGCCCCTGACTGCTGCTGATGCTGCCAGAGGTGCCTGCGCGTGGTCACTGACCCATGACACAGTGTCTGCAGGAGCTCCCTGCTCACCATTGCCAGGCTCCTGCCACTGCCGGCACAGCCATGCCCCACCAGCCACCAGGGGCATGCGCCATTCATGCACTCAACATGGTTTCCTGGCAGCTTGGGGAGGCCCATGGTGTCCTTCCTCCCTAATTTAGGGGGCTGATGCATGTGGAAGAGGGCTGGGTAGGTGGGGCCTACTGCCTCAGTGCCCAGTCAAGGATTTGAGGGCTGGTAATTGGAGCATCTTTTTACTAGTAAACAGGGCATGTTTGATGTGGATTCACCAAGAAGCCATGAAAATGGAGTCCCTATGAAGCTGCTTTGGCACTTCTCAGAAATGATCCACTAAGTAGATACAGGGCAGTAGCTGAAAGGACACTGATATTGCAAAATACATCTTTCAGCCCAGCTGTCATGGCTCTTTCTGGGCTTGGGGAGTACTTTCCCGTGGATATGGAGAGCCCTGGCGTGGGTCTGTGGGAACAGCAAGAGACCCAGCACCTCTT